TGTTAATGTTTTCTCGGTTGTGTTACAGCTAACTGCTTCTAATATGGAAGGGAAAAGCTGCCCAAGTGAAGTTTTGGTTTGTACGACGAGTCCCGACAGGCCTGGACCTCCTACAAGACCCCTCATTAAAGGACCAGTTACATCTCATGGCTTTAGTGTCAAGTGGGGTATGTTTTATTGCTGTCGCTGCTGCTGCTTTTTTGACAGGTTTTTAAAAAACTGATTAATTTCAGTAGTGACAAACCGATAAACAAACAAACCATAGTATCTGAGGGAGTTCACATTTGGAATATACGTATGAGAAACATCCTGAGAATTCCACAGATTGGTAAATATGACAATTTTAAGAGCATTTAATTTATGATTTTACGCTATTAAATGTTTTTCCTCCTATATTTTTAATGTATTATTTGAGTATAGCAATCTCTGAATATGTATTTCATTCTTCAGTAGCTTAAAAAGCAGCAATTTTTAATACAAAAATTGATTTATAAAGTTAATATTGAAAATAAATTTCAGAATTTAGATATGTCATCTTAATTACATTTTGATAAACAGAATGTTTAAGCTATAATGAATTAGGAAAATGTTAGTTTTTGCTGTTGTTTGTATGTAATCAGAAGTCTTAAACTTCAGGAATTTTTCGTATTAAAGTTTATCATGTGTTTGTGGAAACCTGGTAGAAGGTAGGATACTGTGGCTCACCTGCTACATGGGTTATTTCAGTGAAATAACTGCCATTAGAATGTTGAGAAACATTTGCAATTGTATGTTAAACTGTTGTGATGTGTATGATTATCACTGGTATCGTATAATAATAGTAACTACCTAACAGGCGAAAAAACAAAGTAGAAATCTAAAATAAGATTTTACCTGGCAGTCAAGTAATATAAAAGGAGTTTAAAACATTATTAAATCATTATTGGAGACCAACCACTGAGACATGTAACTGCTTTAAGTTACCTAGCAATTTTGAGGCAGAATTACTCCCTGGAAGATGGATGTGATTAAGAGAAACTGTAAAAATCTAGGTGTGCTTTTTGCCAGATCTAAAGCTTTTTTCTCAGAAAATCTTAGAAATTTCTGTCAGCCCTGAATATTTACTTTGATTAGCCATACTATATGCTGTATATGTTTTTAATTATTGCTGTAAATATCTGAAGTATGTATATATTAATGGGAAGACCAAGTGAAAGGAGTTGGAATTAGTTTCCAAGTCTGTGTGAATAACCTGAGGGTGTGTCTAAAATACAGAGGTGCCCAGTTGATAGTAGAGGTGAATTCTGTATAGTCTTGTAAAATTATAATGCAAGGTGTTTTTCCACTCAGAAAAGAAAACTCTTGCAGGCCCAGAATTTGCAGACAAATACCCAAGGTACATAAAGTTTGCTTAGCAGCAAACTGTGATGGACCAGATTTATTATATTCTGATGTTTTATTTATTTTGTCAGTAAGTTTTGCACCTCCCTTTCTTTCCCTCTCCATCTCTCAGAAGGACCTGGTCACTGATGATACAAGTGAAATAAAAAAGAATAAAATCATTTTACAAAAAAAGAATAAAATCATTTTACAAAAAGAAATATATGAATGGTTCATCTTATATAAATACTGAAGAGCAGGCTTCAGAATTCTCAAAATAAATACATGAGCATAACTCTTAGAAAAATAAATTCATGTTTTGAGTTTTATTCATCTTTCACTAAATAAATGCTAACTCTTTGACATTTCTAGCTCTACAGACTTTGAATAATTAGAAGGTTTTATGGTGTTTTTGTTTGTTTCTTCTGTTTTTCAAGAAAGGAGTTGAGTGAAATAGTAATTATTGTGCCTTTTGGTTGAATCCAGAATTGAGGCAATATAATGTTGTATGATTCTATGTGTTCTAATAATATTTACCAGCAAAAATCCATATGCTTTTTTTTTTAACATTTTGTTTGTTTGTTTGGAGGGGTACATATATTTTTATTGAAGTATAGTCAGTTTACAATGCTATGTCAGTTTCTGGTATACAGCATAATACTTCAGTCATACATGAACATACATATATTTGCTTTCATATTCTTTTTCACCATAAATTACTACAAGATATTGACTATAGTTCCCTGTGCTGTATAGTATAAACTTGTTTATCAAATTTTGTGAGACGACTCCTGTATTTTGAAGCGAGAAACACTCTGCCAGAGTTCAGTAGGTGTTCTGTGTGATTTGGTGGGTTTGTAGACGTAATTCTTGGTGTATTTGTGGGAGAGGGCGAGCTGTGAGTCTCTCTGCCATCTTGGCATCTCCCTCAAGAATCAATATGCTTTTATAACTAACAAGGCATTTGCTTATTTTCCAGATCCTCCAAAGGACAATGGTGGTTCAGAAATACTCAAGTACTTGCTGGAGATTACTGATGGAAATTCTGAAGGTGAGGTTTTTGGAACTTGTTTCATTCAAATCCAGTAGCAAGCCCTATATTCTAATAAGAAACACATCTGTGTAATAATAGTGGGCAATTGTCTAATTCTGTTAAACTACATTTATGATTATACTTAATCACATATTGACAGTTTTTTTCTTTCAAACACAGCATCAGAGATGAGAGTCTGCTTGAAATGTACATTTTCATCATGTTTTTCAAATTTTCTAGTCATGCCTTTAAGCCAGTCGCCCTAATTAATAGAATAAATATGTTTCTCATCTCTCGGCACACTTTCTCTGGAAATTCTTATAAGCAGAGGAAATGTCAGAAGCAATCAGCAAGAAGGATAAGTTGGAGACAGCAAATGAGTTTGGTAATCTAGAAATTCTCAGGTACAATGAAGGCAAAATACAGTATTGTGGGCTAATGACGAGTGTCACACTTTATAACAAGTTTGGAAAATATCGTTTTATTTTTGTCATGATTTCTGAGTCCGATTGTTTATTCACTGCTGGTCACATTAGGTAAAGTAAAGTGGGACAATGTTACAGATCAAATTCCTGCTATGGTGCCTTTTACATACATATGGCAAAAAAGGAAAGAGTTAACAATAACTTTTACAAACAAGCGATGCAGGCGTGCAGCTTGCTTTTTATCCTGTGCCACGATAGCCACCTGGGGTGTTTTGTTTTTCACATCAGTCAGTCCCTATTTTAAGCTGAAAACCTGAGAATGCTTTGAGACGGACACAGCTGTTCTTAACAAAAAATCATATTCTCTGCTAAAAATCTCACCTACCTAGGAGAGAAGTCACGTATGTGCAGTGGCTTATTGTGAAAACCTAAGTATATATCGAATTTCCCTGGCTCTCTTGACCACTGATGGTGAGTGAAAAGTTAGATGCCACTCTGGGCTTACAGTTCACAACTGTGCCAGCACATGACGTCAGCGATTAATTGAATCTCCTCAGTCTTCCTTGTTCCCAGTTGCCTTTTCAGTGCCGGTTCTCTAATAGGTAATGTCAGAATGACTGTCTTTAATAGTCCCCTTTGTTTCGTGGCCCTAGTACACATGACTTCATTGTAACTCAAACCTAATAAGCAGCTTAGGGCATTTGTGGGAGTTACTTTAGTAACTATCATGGAACAGGGTAAAAGTATTTTCCCTAAAACAACTTCGTGGCGTAAAGGCCTTCGTAAAATAATCTACTGGGAAGATGTCATTATTGGGAGCAAACCAGAGAAGGAAACAGCCCAGATTTGTGGGGCAGGTGGGCAGTCTGGTGAGACAGCCCCGTGCTCTTCACCTGGTGGCATCAGCTTCACCCAGGCCCCTCTGGTGGCCCCGCTTGCTGTTTTTTTAATCCTGAGAAGTAGTCAGATAGCTTGTGTCACACTGTTTCTGCAGTAATGTGTCCCTCTCTCGGGAATTTTTATCTTTTAAGTGGGGCTCCATGAAGACATCCGGCCTTTACCCAAAGGACTTGTCTGTAAGGGGAGAGTTTCACTAGGAGAAACTTGTCAACAGCACCCCAGGCTGACCGGGAACCTCACGGCTGAGCAGCCTTCCCCAGGCCCGGCCAGTCCCAGAGGCTTCTCACAGGAGGACCACTTGACAGCTTGCTCCACACTGTCCTCTGTCTCCTGGTACCACTCCCCCCAGGCCAACCACAGGTTTCATGTACTTTCCAGCATCCAAACCTCACAATCAACAAATGCAGTCATAGTGATATTAAGTCGTCTAGCCAGCAGTACTAAGTATTAAAAATGACCCCATGTTATTATAGTATTTAACTTTGTAAAGGAAATGGAAGGAGAGCCCTGTGGGTATTAAACAGAAAAAAAAAGAATAGGAGCTGCTGATTTTCATGGAAACCACTTAAGAGCTTTTCCTTATCAGGAATGGTGGCTACATTTTTACAAAAGGCCATCAACTCATATGTGGGTCTTGTTTTGCAGCGAGTCAGTGGGAAGTGGCATACAGTGGATCAGCTACAGAGTACACGTTCACCCACCTGAAACCAGGCACTTTGTACAAACTCCGAGCATGCTGCATAAGTACTGGTGGACACAGTCAGGTTGGTTTTGTTTCGGTATAGAAGTAAACATCTTTGGTCAAATTCAGACAACCTATCTGTAACATCAGAATAAAACTGCTATTTAAAATGTCTCTTGCCAGTGCAACCTGCCGTGATATCACGTCATGAATTCAGTGTTTTGAATTGTGCTTTAGAGGATATGAGAAGATAGGCCCACATAATTCTCAGTTGTGTTGCTTTCCTAGTACATCTGTCACTTAGCTGTTTCTTAGATTTTGGTGTGATCTCGTGACAGTTGAGAATTGAGGGTGGTCTGGAATTTGCATTTGCTTTAAATAAGGGGGTGAATCTCAATTATTGCAGTGATACAAAAACAGAATTTAGAGTCAAAAACAGCTTGTGAGACTATGAGACGCACCTTCCTCGAGGTACTTTACTGCCATCTGCTGGAAGATGATCATAAAAGTCGTATAAGCCTTATATGATGACTGAGCTGAATGGCACCCCTGCAACTGTGCCGGGGGGAGGGGGGACAGCCTGTATATCTGTCGGCAGCAGCGGTTCTCTTGTAGTCTACTTTTTAAAAAAAATTGAAGTATAATTAACTTAATACTATTACATTAGTTTTAGGTGTACAGCATAGTGGCTTAACGTTTTTCTACATCACAAAATGCTCACCACTTTTGTCTACAATTTATATGACCTTAGACCACCAGTTAACTTGTCAGGAGCCTTGGTTTCAGCCTCAGTCTTCTCATAGACTCAGAATAACCTAAGAAACGCACATGAAGTGCTCTAGAAATGAGATAATTATTATCTGAATGGCTTTAGCTTAATATTCAGAAAGTGAGTGAGAAGCAATATGGTAAAAGATGTTTTTATTGTAGCGATATTTACCATTATGGTTTGAAACCATTAGTATTGAGAGAGAGGAAGAGAGCAGTGGTGGCCTCTAGCCCTGTGCTGAGCTGACTTTTCAAGAGAATACCTGCCATTAGGGTGCCTGATTTTGCCAGTCAGCCCCCCTCCAGTGTCTTCTTATGTTTCTTTTCTCCAAAAGGAAAGTGGTACTGCAATGTCTAGACTGTTCATGTAGGCAGACTTTTTGGGAAAAGAGGGTCCAGTTAGACCATTTATGGGCATTGCGCCTGAGGGCGGGGCGTATGCACATCAGAGCCCCAGGTGATTAGCGAGCGCCTCCCACGTGTAAGGGGCTGCACAGCAGTGCTCCTTGACTGTTTAGGTTCTTCTCCTCAGGAAGGAGGATGAGTTTAGTGAGATGCAGAGCTGCAGCTTGCTTCTCCTATCTTAGAAAGGGGTCAGCTTCCATACCACCAACTTTATGCAACCAGATCCTGCCAAAAAAAAGAAGGCCTGCTTATTTCAGTGTTAACAGAACTTGTTGGTTAATATCAGACTCAGCTGATTAATATTGATCTTATTTGCGTCTCTGCTTTGTACGTGGATGGTTGGCCATTTATGGCACCATTTGAAAATTTCATCCAGCTGTTGTTTTGTATTCTCTTCCATCCTCATGAAGGGTCTCTCTAGTTATGGTTTAAAGGAAAATAACTGTGTGCCTAGGATGCACAACACTCGTGTATATGAATCTGACTTCAGAAAGAATTCTTTTTACCAGTGCCATATGCAGTGTATGTCCATACTTATAACACACACACACAGATGAAAAGCTTATTCCATAAAGAGTGTACACATTCAATGTGCAACCCCCTTTTGGTAACATTTGCAATTATGGGGTGAAATTTGCCTGATACATAGAGCTCGAATAAATTCAAAGTAACTAAGAGATGGTTGTCTCCGGTATTTCTCCTGCAGTGTTCTGAAAGTCTCCCTGTTCGCACACTAAGCATTGCACCAGGTCAGTGTCGACCACCGAGGGTTTTGGGTAGACCAAAGCACAAAGAAGTCCACTTAGAGTGGGGTGAGTGAACAAATCTTCACATTGACTATTTGGACAATTTGGAGATTGAGTTTAAGACTTAATGTTTTGTAATTAAGTTCCAAATCTTCCTTATGAAAACCATGTTTGTTTCTGTTGAAAATTTCATGTTCTTTGTAATGTGTGTGGGCTTGGGTTTGTTTCTCCCTAGCGCTATCACTCGTCCTCCCGTTCCTGATGGCGCCTCTTATGCTATTCATCCTCTGCCCTTCAGAGGGCACTTTCCTAGAAAATCTCTCAGAGAAGCTGGTCTTTTCGGGAATATTTCAACTTTATTCATAAATTAAAAGTTGTGCTCAATTTAGACATGAAACCAAGACATGGTTCATAAAGTAACATCTGATTCCTCCTTGTCTGCTGCCTTGTCATGTTTGGGTCCTGGTGTTTCACAGTATTGACTCAAGTTGTATTAGCATTTCCTGTCGCGTCAGCAGTTTACAGCATGTAAAATTGTAAAATAAACCTGCAGAATGCTGCCAGACTATTTTTCCCCACCACTTATGTCTAAAATATGATCATATATTGTGCCAGTTTGGGGTTCTCCAACTTGATTTACTGGGTCATTTGATCTCAAATTAAAGAGAAGATCCCCCCCCCCCCAGTTTCTTCCCCATACTTTGCATTACAACGTAAAGAAGTGCTTTTGGAATTTTTATTAGTGTCGTTAAATGTACTTGCTTTGCAAAGTATGCATAACATCATTCAAGAACTTTCTTTTGCATGTCTTCTCTTTTTTGAATTGGAGGTTCTTCTGTAAATACTGAGGACAGGCCACCTACCTGACATTTTGCAAACCTTGTGGAAAGTCAGGTGTGATAGGGTCAACTGGAAACACAAAAATGTTCTAAGGTGAGAAATATTCTCCGTTCCCAGATGTTCCTGCCTCAGAAAGTGGCTGTGAGGTCTCGGAGTACAGCGTGGAGATGACGGAACCCGAAGACGTGGCTTCTGAGGTGTACCACGGGCCGCAGCTCCAGTGCACCGTCGGCAGCCTGCTGCCCGGAACCGTGTATCGCTTCCGGGTGAGGGCTCTGAACGACGGAGGGGTGAGTACCAGCTCGCGCACCGCCGTCTCGGCAGTTCTGGTTCTCCCCTCCTATGACTCCTCTGCCATATCGATCCAACCTTGACGACCGTTAAGGAAGTGTCTGTGAAATCTCATTTCGGAAAGTCAATTGTTCTGATTTCATGTAGACCCAGCCTTGGAAATTCCGTTCATTTGTCCTTCTATCATTCTCTTAAGATAGAGTTCAAGGTTAATAAGAACATCACCTGTTAGATGCTTTTGGTGTTTTTAAAATAATTTCCTTTCTTCTTGTCGGCTGTATTAATCAGGTATGGGAAATTAGTAGTACATAATATTCCTTTACCATGTTGTCTAAATTACCCAGCAGTGTCTTAGGTCAGTTTTTAAAACTGGATTGTGGGTAGAGGCTAGGGAGGCTAGCTTATTGGTTTTTATTTCAACTGAACACCGTAGAGATGTCTGGCCCTTTCCACTACTCCATTTGGAGCTGTTGAGCTGGGCTATTAGAGATTGAAAGAGTGTGTATGTATTGTATCCACAAAGGTGATTGGTTTGGGGGTTTTTTCATTGCAGAGTGATACGGATTTGAGGAAATTCATAATAAAAATGAAGTGACCCAGAAACTCTAAGGGCTTTCTGGTGTGTCAAAGATGTTTCTATAAAACAAGGTAGAAGGGTATGGGTAGAGCAGACAGCCTCTAGGGCCCCATGAAGTGCCAGTGATATGTATAGATAGTCCATGCCAATAAACAGATGTCATTAATTGATGAGATTTTTACAAGTAAGAAGGCCCAACTGGTGACAGGAAGTTGACAATGACTCTTCTAGTTCTCAGTGGTCCTGTTCACACCTTTCAGAAGTGAAGTGTGTTTGTCTTTAGTCTATTTAATGTTAGGCACAGCTGACTATGAAAACATTTGATTTGAGGTAGGATCCTTGAATAGGAACTGGATTTCTTCTAATTCCTCGTTAGGAAAGAATTTCAGATACAGCACAAATATTTAAATTTAAAAAAAAAAAGCCAAACACTAGACAATGAACATGTATTGGTGAGAAGTTAAGAAAGCCTAGGCACCCAAACTTTGACAAGTAAAAAGAGGGTGGATGGTGGTGATCACTGTTGCTGGAGAAACCCTGTTTTCCTGTTGTTCTTGTACTTTTCTCCCATCAACTTTTCAGAGGATTTCTGCCATAATAAATGTGCAACTGGACTAATTTGGGTTTTGCTTTCTCTCCCCTTTCACTAACTTATCATATAAAGAAACTATCTTCAGCCTTGTTTTAAAATTGTGTTATATTGGAAGCTAACCATATATTTGACTTGTGGTCACCTTCTACAGTCCATTTTAGAGAGCTTCTCCCCCATCCCCACCCCCAGAATATTTGCAAGTTGTACTAGAAAAGGAGAAGGTTTTTTCTTAAATCTTTTTTTCCCGTTTTGAAAAACATAGTCACATACTTCATTAGCCTGAAAATTGCTTTACTCTTTGCTGCAACTCTTTACAGTATCACACATTCCACTATTAACATGGTGGTTATGGCTCTCTCAGAATGTTTTAAATCTCTAGTGATGATTAGGTCTGTGCAGTGTGGTTACTGATGGTGATAGAATGAGACACGGAAGGCAGTGTAGATCTTCAGATAGTTGAAATGGTGGAACATACATGCTGGGGAAACATTACCAGGAGCATTGGTTTTCAAGATGGAAATACCAATAACTAGAAGAAATACTCAAAATTTGATAACCGGCAATTCCAAATAAATTTTAATGCATTAAAAATTGAACTGCAGTATATATCTGACTTAGTTTTCTTTGATTCCCTCTGAGAAATTAAAGCAGAATGCTATGGTATATTAGAAGTCAGCATTTTTTGGTTTCTTTTGTCACAGCAAAAATGTTTGGTAAACCAACTTTCTAATCCTTTTGAATTACATATATTTTATAATATATTTCATTATGTATTTTATAGAAATATATATGTAAAATAGATATTTACCACTCAGGGAATGTATGTGGAAGAAAGTCTACATGTTCAGTTGAAATTGAACGCGATTAGGTAATAATTTTAATCAGTTGTATTGATAATGGCATTAGCTTAGCCCTTGTTTGGTTATAAGCTTGTGTTGTATGTGCGCCTGCACGCATACACACAACGAATGTACGCACACACACACACAAACAAACATGTGTTTTTCTCTTTCAGTATGGTCCATATTCTGACGTCTCAGAAATTACCACTGCTGCAGGGCCTCCTGGACAATGCAAAGCACCTTGTATCTCTTTTACACCTGATGGATGTGTCTTAGTGAGTTGGGAGGTAAGTTAGGCACAAGTTTTGCATCAATTTGTTTCTTCTTCATTATTTGCTCCCAATGCAAGTTATGAGGAAGCTACAAAGCTAGAATTTACATGTAGGTGATTTTTACACAGTAATCTGCCTTCAAACTTGCCAAGAGTTGTGGAAATTTTACCACCTGTCAGAATTCAAATGAAAATGAGTATTTTTATTTTTTAATTTTTTTTTATTTTTTATTTTATTTTATGTATTTATTTATTTATTTTTGGTGAGGGGAGGGAATGAGGTTATTTATATACTTATTTGAATGGAGGTGCTGGGTTAAGTATCTTTTTCATGCCTCTCTTTTGCATGTATCTGGAGTATCCTGTGGCATGTTGCTCTCTTTCCCAGTTCAGTTAGTAGAACACAGACTTCATAGGATTTTCTTGTTGGTGAATTTTACCAGTTAAATTTCTGTTTTCCAGAGTCCTGAAAGCTCTGGTGCTGACATTTCAGAGTACAGGTTGGAATGGGGAGAAGATGAAGAATCCTTAGAACTCATTTATCATGGGACAGACACCGGCTTTGAAATGAGGGATCTATTGCCTGCTGCACAGTATTGCTGTAGACTACAGGTAGGCTGACACTATTCGGACATTACTCACACACACTGGTGTTCTATGAAAGACTCTTGGGAAACTTACTAAAAGGCTTGTGATAGAGGCCATCAGGAGGGATGATATGGAAAAGAGAGTCCTTTTAAGTAAAAATAAATGTAATTGTTTTGGTATTTTACAGTTAATTTTTGCATCTCTCGGAGGTCTTGAAATGTCAGAACAAAGCCAGATTCTTCTCCACTGTACTTCTCGCCATTCTTGTGTCTTGCTGGTCGGTCAGTTCTCCAGGACTGAGTCCAAGGCAAAGGTGGCACAGCTCCTAAGGGAAGATGCCTTCTGTCTGAATTTCCTGAGATGCACATTTCAGTGGGAAAGCCACTCAGACAAAAGGCAAAAAAGAAGAGTTTTGCAGATTTAAATACATAAAGAAGCAAAGATGCCAGATTTAGGTTTCCACCAGATTTAAGTCCATGTACGCTCAATGTCTCTGGCCTCTTTGGAGAAAATATTCCTTTCACAAGTTAATTTTCCAGATCAACTGAACCTTTTCTGTTAAATTCTGAAGTCTGTTCATAAACAGTTCTAGCTAAACTCTTCCATTATACACACCTTCTTTCCTTCTCGAATGAAGGGTCTGGGATGTAATCAACCCTTTGTCAGTGAGTCAGGGTCACAGCACATTATCTGAGCTTTATAATAGCAATGCTGAGTCATTGGGAAAAAGTTAAATTCTGTGCTACACTCCTGTTTTTGGAACAAGGAAGGATATAAATAAAAACTGTCTGCCATCACAGGAAAGAACTTCAGTCTGCTTTTCAAGTTTTGGTCGCTCTTTAAAATGTTCTGCTTCCTTTTTTTTCCTTTCGAGGTATATGTTGTCACTTAGCATTAACTTCCCAAAATTGCATTTTAAAAGATAAAGATACATTAGTAAGAATAGAGCCCGCATAGTAATCTTGCCTCCATGTTCCAACAGTCAGAAATAGTAAATATTTTCACATGTCTGTACTTATTTGTCATAAAACGAGTCAGATCCTGTGGAGGGGATAGTACGTTCAAGACTGCCATTGTGATGCTACAGAATTGCCAGGAAAATGGTCTCCTCAGCTTATATTGATTTCTTGATAACTTATGGACCAAATATGAGTTATTTTCATTTGACATTACCACAAAGCCAGGTTGACGCTGAATATTCTTTTGAATATTTGGTGCCTTAAAAATTAAACCACTGTCATACCTCTACTGTGTTTTATAAAAGTTGGGTGGAACATTTCTTGTTTTGCTCAGGAATTTTGAATTTTTATATCCATCCTTAGGAACATTTTAAGCAACAAGTACCCAATAATTCTTTTCACATGAGACATATTGTATATTATAGGCATACTCTTAAATTTAGTAAGATTCTTTTGAATTCCTTTAAAAACTGGTAATACTAAGTGGTATTAATCAAGAAAGCATTGTCCATAGAATGAAGCTACTAAAAGAAAGCTGAGTCCTGGGTGGGATCCTGGAATAGAAAAAGAACATTATTGGAGAAACTGGTAAGATTTGAATCAAGTCTATACGTAGTTAATACCATTATACCAGTGTGAATCTCCTGGTTTTGATCATTGTTTTACAGTTAGGTATTAGGGAAAGCAAGGTGAGAGGTACATGGGAAAGATACATGGAAATTTCTCTGCACTATTTTTACAACTTTTCTGTAAGTCTAAAATTAGCTTGAAATGAAGTGGGTTTTATTGTTTGGTTTTGGCTTTTTTGTTTGTTTTTTTAGGGTTGTTTTTCTTTTCCTTTTTTCTTTTTTTGATTTTTTGTTTTTGTTAAATAGGAAAATTGTTATTGCTTTGTTGTTCTTGGAAAGGAGAGAAGTGAAGCCCTGACAGTTGGCCTGACACTCTGCCAGGATTTTACATGTTAACAAATTTAATCTTTACGATAACTATGAATTAAGTATTACTATCCCCATTTTCCATTTGGGGAAACAGACTCAAATGTTAATTTGCCTAAGATCACACAGTTAGCAAATAATAGAATCACGATATGAACAAAGCTCCAACTCTTAAAAGGCATGGTCCTTTCCTTCTGTTGCATGGTGATTAAAGCCTCAGCTGATGTGAAAGTTGGGTTCCACAGTATCTTATTTTTCTGCCCCTGTGATAAATATGCATCCAAAAATAAAATCTCTAAGTATATACTCTTAAAGTAGTTCGTGATGTTAAAATTTTACCAAAAAGAGAGTTCCTGTTGTCATGAAATAGGACTAGATGTGAAAACATATTACAGTAAGGTATAAAAAGTGATTTGATAGCAAATGAATACTCTTGCTTCTTTGAAATAAACAATAATACACAGGCATTTTAAGTTTTCTTTTGAACCTTTGACTTAAGAGCTCAGACTACTTTCCTTTAGTTTTATAATTTGTCCTCATAAGCTCTCCTATGAAGTAAACTAAATTTTAGAGTACAGTTTTTATAAGGAGGTTGCCAAATGTTTTATAAGGAAAAAAAATACTGTAATAGCATTTATTGAGTGCATACTGTGTATCAGGTACTGTTCTAGTTGCCAGAGCTACAGCAGTGAACCCAGCAGACAGCCTTGACCTTATAGAACTTACGTTCTTATCAAGGCAGTAATTAAATGAAGTATATACCATGTTGGTCTATGGTGGTAAATGCTATGATGGGAAAAAGGCAAAGAAGGGAAATAGGAAATGAGATGGGTCACAGGGATTTGGGTAGGGCGACTGCAAGTTTAAATGTGTTCAGAGAAGTCTCCCTGAAAAGGCAGCGCTTGAGAGGAGGCCTGGAGGAGATGATTGGATGGGCTGTACAGATGTCTGGAGAAAAGCTTTGTGCACAGAAAGGGCAGCAAGTTGCAAAGGCCCTGAGGTGAGGGCAAACTTGGTGTCCCTGTGGAACAGCAAGGAAGGAGTGTGGCTGGAGCAGAGGGAGTGAGGGGCAGAGTAGTAGATGATGAAGGCAGAGATGAAGGAGGGTAGTTGTACAAGATTAGTCTTTAAAGTTTATTCTGTATGTGATGGGAGGTCATTGATGGGACTTGAACAGTGAATACAGTCTGTGGGGCGAGGGCTGACAGAAATTCCAGCTAGAGGGTCATTACAATAACCAGATGAGAGAGTATAGTTGTCTAGGGTGGTAAAGGATATGCTGATGGCTTGGCTAGGGGTATGAGAGGAAGAAAGATGTCCAGCAATGACTTGGAGATAGGACTTGAGCAGCCTGAAGGATGGGGAAAACCACAGGAGGTACGGTGGGGTTTTGGGGTGAGCAGGGATGAGGTGGAGACTTGGAGCTGTGTGGACACTTGATTTGGAGATGCCTATTTGACATTCAAGTGGAGATACTCAAAAAGCAGTTGAATACACTAACCTGGCATTCAGGGCAGAGGTCTGAGCTACACAGATAAATTTGGGAGTAGGATACAAATGACATTTACCCCGAGACAAGATGAGATGTCCAAGAATTTAAGCAGAAATAGCGTGCACGCCTGAGGCCTGGTGCCCTCCAGGGTTAAGAGATCCCAGTAATGAGTAGCAA